AGTAATTGTGATGGCAGCTGCAGATTTTGCATAGATTTCCATTATCAGATTGGGGCAACTCTCTTTTTCTCCTAATTTGCTTAGAGCTTTTATTATTAAGGTTATGAACTTCATCAATTTTTTTATGCATCTGTTGAGGTGATTATATAGTTTTTTAAAAATCTTTTATTCTTTTAATATAGTAAATTATAGTCATTAATTTTTGAAGGGTTAGCTAAACTTGCAATCCTAGGATAAATCTCCACTTGGTCATGGTGTATCATCCTACTGATATTATGCTGGATTTGATTTGCTAACACTTTGTTAAGGATTTTTGTGTTGATATTAGTGAGGAATATTGGTATGTCATTTGCTTTTCTTGTCAAATCTTTGGTTTTGGTGTGAGAGAATGTTGCTCATATAACATGAATTGGGAAGTGTTCCCCCACTCTTCTGTTTTGTTTTTTTGAAAACGCCATATGATCTCGCTCACATGAAATTTCTATAGTAGTGAGATCCATAGAGACAGAAAGTAGAATGGTGGCTGCCAAGGACTGGGGGGGGGGGGTGGTGGAAGAAATAGGGAGTTAGTGTTTAATGAGCATAGTGCTTTATTTGGGAATCATGAAAAAGTTCTGCAGATGGATAGCAGTGATGGTTGTACAACAATGTAAATGTACTTAGTGCCACTGAACTGAACACTTAAAATGGTTAAAATGGTAACTTTCATGTGTCTTTTTTTCCACAACTAAATAAAGTATAAAATAGAATATCTAGAGATAGAAAATACAGTATCTAAACTGAAAAGTATATTGGATTGAATTAACAGTTATTTAGACACTAGAGAAGAAACGATCTGAGAACCTGAAATTATAGCAATAGAATCTATCAAAGAGAGAAAAAAGACTGAAAAAATGGCGCCTCAGTGGAAGTATCAAGCAGCCTAACGTATGTGTAAATGGATTCTCAAAAGCAGGAGAGATGACAGGACAGAAAAAAACACTTGAGAAAATAATTGCTGAAATAAGAGCTTTATCAGGCAAATAAAAGCAGAGAGGCAAATGAAAGCAGACAGAACTCATCACTAGCATATCTGCACTCCAACATATAGTAAATGAAGCTATTTACACAGAAAAAAACAGATAAAAATGTGGATTTGGGGAAAGATATGAAGAGCATCAAAAACAATAAATCTATTGTAAATGACCCATGCATTGTTTAAAAATGTTTTTCTCATTAAAAGGTAATTTACTAATTAAAGCAAAAATAATAAAGTTTTATGAGTTTCACAAAACATAGAGACATAAAATGACAGCACAAAGGATTATAAGGGGAGATGGAAGTATATGTTTTAAAGCAAATTTTATGCAATAGCATAATAGAATTAATAAGATAGCTAATTTAATATAGCAACTATTATTTACTACCGTGGCTTAAAATTTTGTGTTCTTTCAAAAAGACATAGGTCTCATCCATTAGTTTTATTAAAAATGTATGCTGTCATTTTACATATTCAATATTTTTACTGATAAAAAAACTTAAAAATCTATTTCTTACTTTGAGATTTAAAATTTTGGTTCTAAATAAAATTTCATTTTCTAAAAAGGTTTCATTGCTGAAAATAAAGTCAGAAAATGCATTTACATGCATTTTCTCATTTAATTCCCACTTCAGCTGTATAACTGTATTACTATTATTGTTACATCATTTTAGAAAAATGAGGCTTTTGAGTATTTAAAGCTCACCCAAGGAAACTTGCTAATGTCATAGCATTGTAAAAATTTGAATCCAAGCAATCTGATTTAGATTTGAACTCTATACAAATTACAAGAAGCTAAAAAAGAATTCTTATCAGATTGTTTTCTATAATGGTAAGAAATGCTACATTACGATACAACCATAAGGTAAAATACTCTACATATATTAAAACTCACGTTGTAGGAAAATGTTGATTGACAATGGAAACATTCTAGATGGAAGACTGAATAAAAAAGAAAGTAAAGTATGTTTGTTTTTAAACACCCATTCTTATATCTATCTATCTATATGGAAAGAAAACTGAAAAATGTGGACCAAAGTGTTAACAGTGGTTATCCCTAGGTGATTGATTTTGTGTTTTACTGTGATAAAAGTGTTGCCTCAATTAAGATGCATCTTTTTGGTGATTATCATATAGAACACACCAAAAGTGTTATTCTACACAAATTCGTCCATGCAGCAGATAGTGAGAAGATTTGTGGACAAAATGGTGCATTTAAAAGGTGGTTTATACCAACTCATCATCTCTTCTTCTTTTTTTAATATTGGAGGGAGTGTGTGGTCATAGATCTTCAATATGTGATGTCCTTCACAGGAAATGAGTATCCCAAGGGATAATTAGCATGTATAAAGCCAATACTTATCTTTACCTTAAAAGACGAAATGTATTGTTTTGCTTCACTTTTAATAATTGTGAAATTCTGCTTGGCACATAATGGAATCAAAAGACCTGACACACTGTCAGAGCCGGATCAATAAGACATGGTGCCTTGGGATAAGATACAGTGATGCCACTGATTAAAACATCAGTGCCACAGATTAAAACATCCTTGGACACCTAATGTAATAGGCCTTGTTATAACATTGGACACGCTTTAAAAAGCACCTCCAGAGGGAAAAGAACTACACCCCCCCAGAAAAACATTTCAGGATAATTTGTAGTGATTAATTGCACCAAATAGAATTGTGAATGCGGTGCTATTGTAGAAGCAAATTGAGAGAGATTTCAACCATTATCTCATATATACATATTTTTATGATGCACAAGAGAGAGGGAAGTCTTTAAGCCACATAAAATATTAATGCATTCTTTAATTTAGTTACTTTTCTATTAACAAGGGAAATCTTAAAATTAAAGGTTTTTTAAATTGCTCTTTCTATGTCCTATAAGTAGGAGACAATAGCCAGAGGCCAAGGCAAGTTGTCATCTAGGGAGTCCCCTCTCTACCCTTCCGTTTTCAGTGCTCCCCTCCTTTGAAGATGAATCATTTCACATGCTAAATAATCCTGGTGTTGGAGGGTGAGCCTATGTATGTGTGTGTGTGAGAGAGAGTGTATGCATATAAGTGTATATGTATATGTGTTGTGTGCTGTGTGTATGTGCTATATGTATAAGTGCATGTGTGTTGTGTATGTTTAAGTATGTGCTGTGTGTATAAGCATGAAGGTATGTGTGTGAGTTCGTGTGTATTTCAGTGTGTTGTGTATAAGTGTACATAGTGTGAGTGTGTGTTGCATGTATAATTATGTGTGTGTTGTGTGTATAAGAGTGTTGTGTGTTTGTGTGTTCTGAGTGTGCATGTTGTATATAAGTGTATGTTGTGTGTGTTCCATGTGTTTGTATGGTATATGTTTAAGTATGTGTGTGCACAAGTGAATGTTGTATGTGTTTGTGTATGTTGTGTGTTCCCAGTGTCCAGTATAGCACACAGTATGTGGCCAGTTTTTACTTATTAAGTAGCTATTAGAGAACATTTCTTAAGCAGATATTATTTTTAGGTGGGTTGTTGAGTGCAGCAGGGAAGTCACTTTCAGCCAGTGTCTGAAGATAGCAGGATACCTACCACCTGGGACATTTTGGTTCAACTCTGCCTGGGCGGGATTTGGAGATTTGACCTTGCTTGTACTGTTAAAACTCCTTCCTTATTTAGAACACACATATACAAAAGATCAGTTTATAAAGGTATCCTTGTTCTTCCTGTGTAATCAAGAAACCATTTTCCTTTGCTCCCCTCATTTTTCCAGTATCTTCCTGAATCACATCCATTGTTTTGCCTTTTTCTTCAAAAGGTATAAATTTGGCTACAAGTCTTCAAATAAGCTGGGTCGTGTGTCCTTGTCTGTGAAATGGTATGTGTATAGTGCCATCTAGTGAGCAGAAAGTAGAAACGCAGCCGAAAGGATTCAAACAGGATTTCGTAATTTTTGAAACAGGTGTGTTGAGTTCGGATGATAATAGAGAAATGGGGGAACAATTATTACCAAATTCATCAATTTTAATCATGTTTTCACCCATGTAAATACCTACCTGTTTCAGAGGAAATAAAACTTGGCTCACTGAAAAACTCAATACCTATTAAGCAGTAAGCCGTAGACATTTTTCTAGTTTTTAGTCCGTGCTTTCACACAACCATGGGTTACTGTAGCTCACGTGATCAAATGTAAGTAGACAACTTTTTGTTCTTGTTACAGAATCTCTTTTTTTCCAATGAATAATATATTTTCCTATAGACTTATGCAATATAATTAGATGTGTGTTTTCTGTGGAAAACAGCTCTGGAGAGACTAAGTTAAAACTTTTTGGAGAGGGTACATTTGAATATGTTCTGGATTTTTTACATCTAGAATGATAAAATTGTATCCCTTGGGTCCTTGTCTGTAGTCCAACTTTTGACTATCTCTGCAGATGTGATCTCCTGCTACTAAGCAAATTGTGCCAAGCTAGCCTGACACCAGCAGGAAATGGCATTGCTGACAGAGACTCCGCAGCCACATGTAGGCAGGGACAAGGGGCAGGATGGCCATTGGAGCCTGGAAAATCAAGCAGTACATCTGAGGTCAAGTGATGGTAAAATATGATATTGGTTCCCTCCCCTGCAGTTTTAGGAATGGGGGACTTTTAAACATGGTGTGTGCCCTTACGCTGTCTCTTTGTACTTTAGGAAAAAAACAGATGGGAGGGAAAGTAAAGAGCAATCGCTGTATTACATGGATTGACATGATTGACATGACTAGATTGACATGGCTCCCTGGGGATTTTGCAGGTGGGCGGAACTCAGTGGGACTGTTGCTTTTAATAAACCTGATGAACATCCGGCTTCTCTCCCCACCTCCAGTTAGGGGGATATAAGTCCTGATGGCTCCAGGGAATGGTATAATTCTCAGATAAAATTAGCCCAAAAAGTTTGCTATGAATTAGGGAATGGATCTGAGAAGTTTTGGTGTGATATTCTGTTGCCTTCTACTCTCTGGGTCCTTTTTACCTGTGATTCGTCCTTCCTCTGTACATCAGCCTCTGGCCCTTCTTGCTCTTCCCCAGAGACCTTTCTTAGCCTTTTCCTCTTTCTCTTTATGCTCTTTCCCTGAGTCATGCAGCATCTTCAGCTATTACCCAAATCCCAATGGCTCCAGACTCCCTCTCCAACTCTGACCTGTCTCAAAGTCCAGCTCCACCTGCCAGTTGGAAGTCTCTAGAGTTTTCCATCATTCAGAACTGCAAACGTTGCCTGTCTAAAAACCAGTCCTCATTCTACCTAAGCACCAATTCTCCTCCTGTTTCCTTTCCTGTGGGTGGCCCACAATTTCCCAGTTGGCCAACCATTCTGCCCTAACGTACTTTCTGCTCGTCTTTTCTTTCCACAGCCAATCTGAGATTTGGAAGTTGTGCGTTTACTCTCAAGTAATCCCTTTCCTCTTTATTCTTACAATATAAGCTGATAAAAAATCTTCTCAGTGGCTCTAGTTTTCCCCTCTCTGATTAACTTGACAGATCACTGTCAGATAGATGACACTCGTTATGGGCTGAGCTATGTTTGTTATGGGCTAAGTTCTATCCCCCTCAACTTTATATGTTGAAGTCCTAACCACCAGCACCTCGGACTGTGACTGTATTTGGGTCACAGGGTCTTTACAGAAGTTATTGAGTTAAACTGAGGTCACATGAGTGGATCCTAATCCAATCTGACTGGCGTCCCTAAGGAAATTTAGACACAGACACAAATAGCAGGGCAACCACATGAGGGCACAGGCATAAGATGGCCATCTACAAGTCAAAGAGAGAGACCTCAGGAGAAACCAACCCAGCTGACACCTTGATCTTAGACTTCTAACTCCAGGCCTCCTTTAGGCTCAAGCTACAACATCAAGACTTCTCTGGGACTCCAGTATACTGGCCCGCTCTGCAAAATTCAGACTTGCCAGTCTCCACAAGCCTATGAGCCAATTTCTTAAAATAAATCTCTCTATATATACATATATCCTGTTGGTTCTGTTTCTCCGGAGAACCCTGACTAATACTCTCAATTAAAACCTATAATTGCTCCCTCTTTATGCAAAATACAGTTCCAAATCCTTAAACTAGCATTCAAAGTCCTCCACAATAATTCCCAAAGTCCTATTTCAACTATAGCTTATATTACTTTCTTTCAATGACCTTTTGATAAACATGTTAACAACAGCATTTACTGAAAAACCAACTCTATAATATTGAACAAACTTTTTTCCTGTGGGACTAGACTCAGGCTAGATTCAAATCCAGCAATTTATTTGATCTCCCTAAGCTTCCATTTTAACATCCGTAAAATGGGAATAATTCATTCAATCATTCTATAAATAGGTATTGAACAACTATTGAGTGTTACAAATATATTCATATTGTTGCACCTTTACAATGGCTTAGTCAACGAAGTCCTCTAACTTCTAAATGTCGATACTCTTTACTGAGAAGACTGACGGAAGAGAGGATATTTAGGGTAGAGAATGAATAAAGAATTTCATCTGAACTATGTACAGGTTGAAATATCTCTTAGACATCCAAGAGAAGGCAACAAGTAAACAGTGAGATATACACAAATGGAGTTCTAAGAATGGGATGTGGCTAGAGATAGAAAATTGAGAGTAAAAATGTATTTAAAGCCATGGGATACAAGACACGAATTTAGATACATGGTGTTACATGACCCACTAGGAGAGAAAAGCTTCACAAGGAATTAGTGATCAGCTTTGTGAAATATTACTAAGATAGGGAACTGGCAGGCCCTGCTCAATAAGGAGTCATAAGACCCAAACCAAGGTTTCTGATAAAACAAAATGCAATAAAGAAAACCATTAACACCGGTTAAAACCAAGACGGCAATGAGAGCGACCTCTGCTTGCCCTTGTTGCTCATTTTACCCTGCTTGTGAGGCATTTAGTGTGCTAAAAGAAACTCCCACCAGTGCCCTGACAGTTTACAATAACCATGACCACCTCCAGAAGTTACCACATGTACCGTGTTTCTCTGAAAATAAGACAGGGCCTTATATTTATTTTTCCTCAAGAAGACACCCTAGGGCTTATTTTCAGGGGATGCGTTATTTTTTTTTTTAAGTACAGTACAACAATCTACATTTATTCAAATATAGTTAAGTCATCTTGTTCTGGAACATCATCATAACTCTCCAAATCTCGAATTCCATCCTGAATCTCTTGGGACTCTATTTCCTTTAGAACCATTGGCCCCAATCTCTCATGTGGAGCCATAGCGCTCTCATGGAGCAGATGAGAAGGGCTGCTCGTCTTCTTTACCGCTCTGTGACGAAATGCATGGGTCGCGCATATACACCGCGTAGCCACGCCCATCACTAGGGCTTATTTTCGGGGTAGGGCTCATATTGCGCAAATGCTCAGAAATCCTGCTAGGGCTTATTTTATGGGTAGGTCTTATTTTCAGGGAAACACGGTAGTATAAAAGGAGAAGTGACCCCCATTCCTGGAGCTCCGCACACATTTCCCAAAAAACCCATGAATATTCCACCTCTCGTTTAGCATACAATCAAGAGACAGCCATAACTAAAGTTGCCAGCAGCGTGCAGGGCTGATCTGCCTATGGAGTAGCCTTCCTTGTGCTTCTTCGTTACTGCAGTAAACTTGCTTTCTCTTTTCTCTGTTGGCTTGCTCTTGAATTCTTTCCTGCGTGAAGCCAACAGCCCACTTGGCATACTGGGCTGACCTCGGGTTTCCGGATTCACCTGCATCATTGCCAACTATGGGATGCCAGTGTGAAGGAGCTATGAGAATCTACTCCTCTGGGAAGCAAGCATAACTGGTAAAAAACTATTTGAATAAAAAACATTTAAAACTTCTGGAACAACATTTAAACTTCTACATTGAATCTAATCTTCTACATTGAATCTAAAATTCAACATTTAAACGACATTTAAAACTTCTGGAAATTGCCCTAAGAGCATACAGCAAGTGAAGAAATACTTATTTTTTTTTTTTTAAAAAAAAACCTACTAAACCTTGCTTAAAGTGGCCAGAGTCCATAGCATTTGAGCTAGGACGTATTCCCTTCCTCATTCCTCCACCCCCAACCCCCAGCTCAGCTGGAGAAACTCCACCCCCAGGCAGGTTTGGCCAAAAAGACAGGACTGCCTCTCCCATCATCTCAACATCCCAATCATGGGACATTGTATTTCCTTGGGAAGCACAGGCCACCAGTGTTTTGCATCCCTTCCCACTCCAAATTTAAGAGACTAAACTCCTGATAAGTGTGACTAAGAGGTAAAGGCCCCCCTTCCTCCACCCAGTCCCCAATCACAGGATGGGGGGCTCTCCCCCAGTTAGAATACTGGGTTCCTCACTGCCCTCACTTGAGCTCACTTGGGGGGCAGAGGTTCCACTCTGGGAGAAGCAAGCCAAGAAGACCAGAAGTTATCGCCCCACCCAGCACTCAGAGTGTGGCTCAAATACTCTGCCCAGGTGGAAAGATGTCCCATAGGCACAGAGAGCTCCAGAGCTCTCACCAAAGGCACTGCTTTTATTTGCAACAGTGTGGTGAAGCTCTCTCAAAGGCCATGGTTCTTCTTCATTAAGAGCAACAAGCTAAACCTCAGGCCAGTGAGTTTATCAAAGAAAAACAGGCAAAGAGAGAACAAAAAAGAGCCCTCTGGGTCAGAACAAGCCCTAAAGACTGGCCCCAAAACTATTCTTGCCTGAAATTAATTGGAATAGATGGTGAAACAATTTATACATCAGGGCATAAGCAAAACTTATAAAGCAATCAGCCAACAATTACTAGAACCTCAAAGTTAGCTGTGTTGCCAAATAAAGCAGACAGTTCTACAGAGAGACCAGGGAGAGACAAAGAGAGCTGTGCTGAACCATGCACTAACCTGAGACACAACCACTAGTGGGCAGTGGAGTCCCTGCAGGCCTCCCTGGATGCTGAGACCCGGGCCCGCAACGAAGCACTGAGGCTCAAGAAGAAGATGGAGGGTGACCTCAATGGCCCAGCTGGAGCTGCAGCTGGGCCATGCTACCTGTCAGGCCACGGAGGCCCAGGCGGCCACACGGCTGCTGCAGGCCCAGCTGAAGGAGGAGCAGGCGGGGCGGGATGAGGAGCAGCAGCTGGCAGCTGAGCTCCGAGAGCAGGCGCAGGGCCTGCAGCTCTGCTGTTGGCTTCTGAGCTGGAGGAGCCGCGGGCTGTGCTGGAGCAGGGCGAGCGCAGCCGGTGACTGGCGGAGCAGGAGCTGTTGGAGGCCACCGAGCGCCTCAACCTCCTGCATTCGCAGAACACAGGCCTCCTGAACCAGAAGAAGCAGCTCGAGGCGGGTTTGGCCCAGCTGAGTGGGGAGGTGGAGAAGGCTGCCCAGGAGAGGCGGGAGGCAGAGGAGAAAACCAGAAAGGCTATCACCGATGCCGCCATGATGGCTGAGGAGCTGAGGAAAGAGCAGGACACAAGTGCACACCTGGAACAGATGAAGAAGACACTGGAACAGACAGTGCGGGAGCTCCAGGCCCGGCTTGAGGAGGCTGAACAGGCTGCCCTCAGAGGTGAGAGGAAGCAGTAGCTATGGGGGTACTGACGCAGACTGTGGGCCCCTGACAGAGGCCAGTAGCCTATCTGCCCAAACGACCGGAAGCATCGGGATGAACGCCTTGCCTGGGAGCACTGGCAGCAACCGTCTTGCTAATCAAGGAGGCGGACAAGCTTATGCTTGGGCAAAATATCCGTGTGCAAGTCCCACACGCAGTAGTGGCTTTGATGGACACATCAGGGCACCAATGACTTTCTAGCAGTCGGTTGGCGCAGTACCAGGGACTGCCGTGTGAAAACCCACGAGTCACCTTCGAGACTGTGCGGACCTTAAACCCTGCCACCCTCCTTCCCACTGGGCCAGGGCCCCCTGACCATGACTGCACCGAGGCCGCGGGAGGTCTATGCAAAGATAGTCCATTGCCGGTGCCCGACCTGGAGCTCAACACAGACGGCAGCAGCTACATCCAGGATGGCAAACGGTTGGCTGGCTACGCAGTCACCACAGGGAGCGAAGGCATCATGTCAGCCCCTCTGCCTTGGGGATGGTCAGCCCAGAGGGCAGAGTTATGGGCGCTCATCCAAGCCCTCAGGTATGCCCAAGACAAAAGGGCCAGTGTATACGGGTTGCCCCTGAATCTGGCTGGAAGCCAAGGACCGGATGGGACCACTGGCTTGGACTCTTATAGGAATACTGACAGTCTTCTTGGGAATTGGACTCGGGGTCTCCGCCCCAAGAGACTGGACTAACTTGCTTCTTGGTAACCCTTTTCTGGGTCTACATGGGGTGCCTCTGTGTTGTTCTTGGTTGGGGCTCTCTGGGGGAAGAATGCTGTTACTATGTAAACCAATCAGGAATTCTAACTACCAAAGTCAAAGGGCTAAAAGGATCCACAAGAGAAAACGGGGGTTAGAACAGGCTTGGGGCTTAGCTATTTCCCCTAGCTGGGCCTCTATCCTTCTGATGGTAACCATGGGACCCTGCTTGCTCAGTGCAGCTGTTAGATTCATAGAGAGGTTGATGCCCCTGTGTAAACTGATGAGGGCATCAAAGGGGGAGGGGAGTGACAGGGAAAAACCCCCACCCCGGGGCCCCATGGCTGAACTCGCTGCTGATTGGATATTAAAGCTTGTTGCTGATTGGATGTTAAAGCTCATTGCTGATTGGATATTAAAGCTTGCTGCTGATTGGACACTTTTTGAATCCCACCAAGTGTATAAAACTGGAGGAGGACAAGGAAGTGGTGCTAGAATTTGGTGGCATGCCCCTCTGAGCCCGCCAGGAGAATAAAGGCTGATTCTCTGACCCTCTGTGTGCTGCTGGGTTCTTTCCCTGGCCAGTCGCTGTTACACTTGCAGGAACATGATAATAGGTGTGAGTGACTGTGCCAAGCCCTAAATATTTTAAATAAAACATTCACTATGTCTTTTTTGAAATATTTAATCCCATGACTCATTTAGTGATTTCCACTGTAATGAATACAGCAGGGTAAGTAAGACCTGGCTTATTAAGCATTAATAATCTTTATTGACATGTTTTTCCTTATTCAGTACAAAATAAACCATTGCAAACTATAGTCACAATCGTTAGGAGTATATCAAAGCCATTGAGCAAATGGACCAGCTATAAAAAAAAGTTTATTAAAAAAATAGACAACATATGTAAACATCTTTTACAATCACAAGGCCTCATAATACAGCATATCAGGTCCACGCCTTAATCTCTGCAGTGGGAGCACCTTAATTGTCAACTAACAGTAATCAGCTTAATTTACCTTTTAGTGAGCTATTGAGCCTATACAAAAATAAATAACCAGATTCTGCTAAGTTTACTAACACAGAAAATCGCAAATGTACAATAGATCACAGCAGAAAATAACTATGTGCAGTAACAGGTGAAACTGAATTCTTATATTGCAATTATCTTTTTAATACAGCTTCATTTCTAAATTCATCACGATGTAGAGTTGACTAAAAGGAAGCTGAAGGGGACAGAAGAGGATATACAGAGATAAGAGAGATGGACACCCACGCCACACACACACACGCACACATCCACACAAGCACGCACACACAAGGGATGTTTTGGTAGGAGCAAAACTGAGGACATCGTTTCTATCCTTTTTCTTTCACGTATCGATAATTTTAGGTGTGGATTATCTTTATTCTTAGCTCCCAAATGATGGAATACGAGCCAGCTAACCATAGTTTCAAATGGAATAAAATTTTGAGGAGACCAAATTCCTATTACATAACTCAATAACCACTCAAAAGTGAAACTGAATTACAAAATGGACAATAAGGCAACAAGACGAAATAAGTACCTGAGATTCTGCTACAAGAATCTGGAAGGCACGATTGTTTACCTCGGGGGGGAAAAAAAGCACTGTTAATATAATCCTTTCACACTGCTTGTCATCTGTTGGGCTAGGTGACTGAGATGTTCCACAATGGCCAAATAATATGACTTTCCTATTTTTTTTTTCTATTATATAGGTTAGATATTTCATTCACACTTGATATAATTTATTCTAAATTGCTGACATTTCAGTTATTCAGTAAACTTTAACCAAGGTATAATCTTAAATAAAATATCATGTTTTTAATTTGGTTTTTCATTGTATGGAAAAACTTAAATATGTATTGTCTGTCTTCTTAATAACCATATTCTAGAGACAGAAGGGAAGCATAATACATTTAGCAGAAGAAACCCAGGCAAATTTACCAAGCGCCTGGCTAGCCATTTCTGTAGCAGTAATTCAGTAGTCTGTTTGTATCATATGTACGTGATTATAAAAGTGATTCATAAATAATTTTGAATCATTTAAAACCTGGGTCTGCTATTTGAAGACCATTTTTATGAACCCACTTCTGAAAGTCATCCATCAAACAGCTGTCACTGCCACTGTATCACTGTATCTCAACAGATGTCTAACATTTGTCCACAGTTAAATGAAATGTGAAATAAAGACAAAATACTTAAATGCTAACAGTATTGTCCTGCTGTTTCTTGAGTTGGCAGCATTTGAGTGTATTCTGGATTTTATTAGAATATGCATTCAAATAGAGAAAAATAAAATTAAAACACATGTCTACTTACAACACATGATCTTTGTGAACAGTTAGGCATGTGTAATTTAATTTTTAAAATTTCTACCAGAAAGTGAAAAAGCTTTCCACTTCTAAATACCAAATAAATGGCTACTGATGACAGAAGAACCCTTTCTACAGGAAAAAACTAAAGATTAGCCTTGCTCATGGACATACAATATGGTCTCAACCAAAGGCCAATATCTTCTAAAATGTGTTTTGGAGTTCTAATGGATAAAATGTTTATAAGTTACATTCAATAAAACTTTTATAAGTTACATTCAATAAAATTTCCTCAGAGAGAAATATCATTGCATAATTTAGGTGAGAGTTGGACATATTTATGGATCATAAGCCTACGGCTGAGGTTAGGTAGTTTAAATAGGATTCTCTATCTATTCCAGTCATCAGACTTCTTAAAAAATATACATCTTTACCTAGGAATATCACATTATTCTTGCCAAGAACTAATAGTTCTTCCTTGGCTTTTTGTTGAACAAATAAAAAAAGAAAGAAAGAAAGACAAAAAAAGGAAAGGAAGAAAAGAGTGAAGGAATGAAAGAAAAACAGTGAGCCTCATTACAATTTCTGTTCTGTACTAACAGATAAGAATATAAATGAGAACAAAGTATTATAATTGTGCTTACGACAATTCTACCCAGCATAGTTTTCATGGGTACACATTTCTTGTTTTACATTTCTGTGTATTTCAAGTTACTAGATAAGAGTCCAATAGAAAAATGCAATATAACTGGCTAATAGCAATCGTATACATTTTTTGGAGAAGGTGGTATCCATGACTAATTTAGTGACATGGCCACAGATTTGAAAACACAGCAGCATGAAATAATTCAAAGGTAGATATATTGTGTTCATTTGTTCACCTTAAAAAACAAACAAACAAAAAAACAAGAAATGCTTAAACAATAATAAGGCACTTTATTTAAGACAGAAATTCTTTCTCCAGTTCATATATTGACGGTCGGCTGGTTTTGGTCTTCATTCTGCACAGAGGCACAGTGTAGTCCCTGCTCTGACCCTCAACGTCAGCGTCCAGTAACGAAGGCACATGGAATTTAGTTCTTCCCTTGGCACCGAGGACATGGGTAGGGCTTGGACGAGCCACTGCGCAGGCGGCCTGTGCAAGCTGAGACTCTGCTCGCTCTGGGGGCACCTGTGGCCCATCCAGTCGGCTTCTCAGGGAGGCGGGGCGAGGCCGAGGCAGGATGCCGACAGCTCTGTGCTTCTCACCTGGCTGGTTACTGTGAGAACCGGAGGAGCAGTGGAGTGGCAGTTCAGAGGCTCCAGTGGCTGAGATCATAGCTGCACCAGCTGGTTGAGAAAGCCAAGACAGTGTGCAATTAGCAAGACAACGACTTTTAAAACAATGAAATATCAGGAAAAATAATTATGATGACAATTCCACTAGGTGATCACTTTAAAGTCACCTTCAATACAAAACACAAACATAAACCTTTTATAATAGAATTTTTTTTTTTTTTAAGAGATGGAGGCTAACATTGTTGCACAGGCTAGACAGCAGTGGCTATTCACAGGAGCGATCACAGATCCTCAAACTCCTGGCCTCAAGCAATCCTCCAGTCTCAGCTGAGACAACAAGTGTGCGTCACTGTGCTCAGCCAATTTTTCTTTTTTAAGGAAAACGTGCTGCAAGGTTCAAAAAGTACTTCAACCTATGGAAATGATATCCACAAACAGAGCTAAAAAATCTTCATAGTGCTTAGGCCAATGGTCATTGTAAGTGTTTTATAATCAGGGTGGCTTTCAAAATGGATGAGATCGGAATAAATTTAAGATGTTTAGAAGTGATGGTTAATATGATTAAACTTCACATTCGATTATGATTTGAAAAAATTGATAAAAACAGGAAAGCGGTTAGGTTTTTACATGTTATTCTTCTCTTGTTTGTACTGAAGAATTGACTTACTACCATTTTAGCAAATAATTATTAGTTTACAAACAAGAGGAAAAAAGCTTTCTTATGGGATTACTATGCTTGGATTTCTCTTTGCACAATTAAAAATCACCAAGACTTTATTGACTTACAAAATGATAATAAACCAACTTATCTAAAGACAATGAACAATAATCTGAAAAGTATCATGTCTAGGTATAGTATTTAAAGAGATGAAAAGACAAACAGAATGAAAGAAGTTTCAGTTTTAATATAGCTTTATAACTGACCATAGCATAACATTTCATAATTTAGAAACCATTTTTCATATACATTACTCACTTAATACTCATGACAGGTACACAAGGTTATTGTAATTATCTTCATATTAGAATAAACAGTCAACTCCTACAGAGTACTTAGTATGCCATTTGACTTTTACCACAATCTTAATAGTGGTATACATTAGGTAAGCATATTATCATCATCCCCATTTTACAGATGAAGAAACTGAGGCACAAAATGGTTAAGCGATGTGCCCATCACCCAGCAAATAAGCGACAGAGCAGAGATTGAGCTCAGACAGCTTTCATTCTACTATACATGACACTGTGATGCTTTAAAGGCATTCAAACAAGAAAGCAGGTTACATAATTTTCCCACGTTCACAAACTTACCAAATGGTACAACTAGAACTTGAACCTTAGACCTATGCCTCCAAACCACCTGTTCTTCCAAAGTAGCCACAGGATCTCCTCAAAGGTCAGTGTTAAAGTACCACTGAACCCTAAAAATCTGAAAGGCGAGCACCACTCCAGCACACAGTGGCATAACCCAATTGTGTAAATACTCCTTCCATTTCCGAAATGGAAAGAACACGGCTGTGAGGAGGAGAGAGGTAGCATAATGCAGTGGTAGGATCCCAAGTTTAAATTCTGACAGCACTGCTTAGTAACTGTATGATCTTGAATAACTCATTAATTTTCCATGAGTTCTATTTCCCTTGCTTCTAAACAGGGGATAGGTATAAAACAGAGTTGCCACAAAGACTAAGACAGAGAATTTACACCAAAGTGCTTTAGCATCTATAAAGTGCTGCAGAAATACCAGTGGCTGCCTTCTAGCCAGGCCCTTCTTGCTTAATGGATTAGAAAAATCTATTAGAACTGTGCATGACAATACATTTCTGCTGAATAAGCCCTCCAGTCTGCAGTGCTTTGTTACGGCAACCTTAGCAGACCGATACACTTGCTAAACTCAGCCCCCACATAAACTGAGCAATGAAGTCATGCGATGCAAGATCCAACACATCTCGGGACAGGTAAGAAGGCCAGTGTTAGTTCCAGCTCCCCCACTAATTAGTGGTCCAGATTTGGGCAAATGGCTTGTCTTCTCTGTCAACGTGAGGGGGCTGGGTAGTTATTCACCACATGCTCTTTCTGCTTTAATATGCAGATCCACATTTAAGTTACTAAAAATTATGCTTTTCCCAGAAATCCCAATTGTGGTTAAATTAGAATCAAATAAAAGAGAAGAGAAGGGTGAAATTCAAAGATCTACGTGGGCCGGGCCGGGCGTGGTAGTTCACGCCTGTAATCCTAGCACTCTGGGAGGCCAAGAAGGGCGGATTGCTCGAGGTCAGGAGTTCAAAACCAGCCTGAGCAAGAGCGAGACCCTGTCTCTATGGGTCTCGCTCTAAATAGAAAGAAATTAATTGGCCAACTAATATATATAGAAAAAAATCAGCCGGGCATGGTGGCGCATGCCTGTAGTCCCAGCTACTCGGGAGGCTGAGGTAGCAGGATTGCTTGAGCCCAGGAGTTTGAGGTTGCTGTGAGCTAGGCTGACGCCACGGCACTCACTTAATATAGCTTTAATATAGCTCACTTTAATATAGCTTTATAACTGACCATAGCATAACATTTTATAATTTAGAAACCATTTAGAAACCTGGGCAACAAAGTGAGACTCTGTCTCAAAACAAAAGATCTATGTGAACGGTAAAAACAAATTATTAAATGTCATCCCTAAAAAAAGATAAAATCACAGAGCCACACCGTTTCACATTCTCATCTCTACAGTGGTGTTTTATATGTTTACCCAAGTACTATGCAACCTACCTGGCGTCTGGCTTCCATCAGACATGGTCCGTCTGTGGTGTGATGCTCTGTCTTTCGAAGAAGCACAGTAAGGCACATTCCCAGGTGTCTGCTCCAGGAAGGAAGGAGACAGGTGTTTGGATACACCATGGCCAGTCTCAAGCGTTGGCATGGGGGCTGGCTCGCGACCACTCCCTGGAACGGCAGGACGGAAATCGGGAGTAGACATCTCGGGGTCATCAGTGACAGGTGTGTTGCCCATGGACATGTCGTCACCCTCCGTCTCTAGCAGGCACTTTGTGGAGAGAGAAGGCATGGACAGAAGGCTCATGGCACCAGGCTGCGTGGGGGAGGGCAGGCTGCCAGCCTCCCCGCCCGTGGACGGCAGCCTCGTGGGGGGACTGGTGCTTCTGCGTGACTTGGAAGCCCGCTGGAAGATTCCTTCTCGTTTTTTCTTTTCGTCCTTGGGCATCGGTTCTTCGGCAGCCTGTGCCCTGTTAAGCTCTCTGATGTCCAGCCCCAGAGCCACCGACGCCAGCAGCACGGTGCACCTGTACAGCGCAGACTCCGTCTTCTTTCTCTGGGGGGGTCGACCCAGGCTGTTTGTAGGAGTCACCTGAGGAGACCCCGCGGCAGAGTTTGCAGAGGTTCCCTCCTCCCAGCTTTCAGCTTCCACAGGATTCTCTCTCGGACCATCTTTCCACAGAGGTAGATCAATGTAGGCTGGAGTAGGCGATTTTATTTGCTTTGGTTTTCTGTGTTCTAATTCCTCCGGGGAAAGTTTAGGCTCCTCGCAAGCCCCTAAATAAAGGTATAAATATACACACGGTAGTACCATTTTACAGCAAAAATTATTTAAACTAGGTTGTAAAGTAAAGCTGAAATCTAACAAATAAATATTCTAAATCAAAACCCACATAGTCCTTTCCAGTTTGGCAAATGATCTGCCCAAGAGGGCTCTCTGAACACGACCCCGGGGCCCAACAACTCAAGGTTCCCTGCTGATGAACTAGCAAGTAAACCACCTGCTGTTTCCTACCCTCAGGAGACTGTTCACACTGGCATCAATCATAGAAACTACTGTAGAAACAAAGTCATCAAGACACAAAACGCACACGCATAGACACAGGCACTACACGTGTCATACCAAATGTGCCCTTTTCCTCACTGCACCTAAAGCCATGTGTCAGGCTCCATTACGCACAGCACGCCTGCGTGTGGAAGAACTGTCACACAGCAGATCAGCGGCTCCCAAAGTGCATGGCCTGCACCGGCAGCGTACCCTGGGAACTTGTGACATGCTGATTCTTGGCTCACTCTAGGCTATAGAATCAGAAATTCTTGGGAGGGTAGGCAGCTCAACAGTCTGTTTTTAACCACTTCAGTACGAGCATCGACTATAGTCGACAGCCACAGAAGAACGCGCACAGTGACTTTAGCCGACAGCCGTGACATGACTTTTCTAATTTTTCATTTATCGAAATAAAATTGTGAACATTTAAAAATAACGTAATGAAAACATATATGTATATGTTACCTATTCTGATTTACATTACAAGTAAAGCTGCCTGTAAAGTAAAACAAGCTATCGGTGCTTGAAAGCTTTCCTCATCACACAAGAGCAAAACGGACTCGTTGTCAATGCACAGCACAAACTATCGTGCGGACTGTGAGTGCCGGCTGTGGGCAAGGTTTCGTGGCCAGTGAGCGTGGTACCGAAGTGGTTAATAAGCCTTTACTAAAGTTTGGGGGCCACAACAACAGAGGAAAATTCTCCAAAGAATTTAGAGTCCCAAAGGATTACAAATTATACTAGCTGAAGAAGCAGCTACAATTCTTATTTATGTAATAAGTAATATGTTTAACGATGAATGACAGAATGACAAACTCCTGAATCTGGTTTCCAAAGCAATCCACAGTAGAAGCTCCGAGTTTTCTGGCATTGCATCCTACTACACCTAAAGCCCGCTTGATCATCCAGACAACCTGGGATGCCAGCTCTCCTCCAGCAGCCTGTGCTCTTCCCAGGGGTGCCTTTTGTGCAGGGCACCCTCTTTTTCTTCCACTGGAACCCTTTCTACTCCCTATCCCTGCTTAACCAAGCTCCTTTCTCCTTCAAAAGAGAAACCTTCAAAGGAGAAACAAACCCTGGGTAGTGAGTAAAAAGGTGCTTGCAAATGAAGCACAGCATTTATAAGACATTCAAGAAATTTACACTGCATTTTGCTAAAACATCTTTCATTTGATCACAGTATCAAGGATCCTCTTACATGGTCAAGTATAAAAAGACCAATTTTCTTTTCTTTGTTAATAACCATCCTTGAAAAGTTTTTTCAATAATTTTCAGCTCTTTGACATTTTAAGATCTGAATGTTTAATGTGAATACTGAATATTGAAAAGAAATCCTAGGCAATAAAAACAAAATGGGACGTATCAATTTACCAGACTTCAAACTATATATACTACAAGGCTATAGTCATTAAAACAGGTTGGTATTGGCACAAGAACAGGGACACTGACCAGTGGAACAGAACAGAGAACCCAGATATAAAACCATCCTCATATAGCCAACTAATCTTCGACACCCCAGACAAAAACATACACTGGGGAAAAGAATCCTTATTCAATAAATGGTGCTGGGAAAACTGGATAGCCACATGTAGAAGGCTGAAACAAGACCCACACCTTTCACCTCTCACAAAAATCAACTCACGCTGGGTAACAGACTTGAACCTTAGGTGTGAAACTATTAGAATTCTAGAGGAAAATGTTGGAAATACTCTTCTAGACATTGGCCTAGGCAAAGAATTTATGAGAAAGACCCCAAAGGCAATCACAACAGCAACAAAAATAAACAAATGGGACCTGATAAAATTAAAAAGCTTCTGCACAGCTAAAGAAACTGTCAAGAGAGCAAACAGACAACCCACAGAATGGGAGAAAATTTTTGTAAGCTACACATCTGATAAAGGGCTATATTTTCATATTTAACATCTCCTCTACTAAATTAATGTGGTTCTACATAATTATGATGCTAATTTTTCTGATAAAGAACAGGACTTACAAATTCCCCAAAAGCATGTGGGACCTAATTACTTTCCACCATAAAGACTTGATGGAAAATAACTTTTGAGATTAAGTAAAGCTATAAGGAATGCGATTACTTGCTAACCTCCCCTCTCTGCTTTAATGACCATATAAGACTATTGAAGCTTCAGAGCACTCAGATGCTACGTCTAACTCCAACAAATTCTACTTCCTGAAACACACTTACCTGGCTGGTCTACAAATAATGAAGCCAAGGGCATGGTTTTCTGATTTTTTATTAAGAGAGTTGACCAAGGACTGTTGCCATCTGAGAGAGGTCTTATCCTACAAGAGAAAACAATGTTTATTTTCATATAATACAACCACATAATACATACATTAAGTTTTGGTGGATACATGCCAACAATATTTTTAAGGTACTAACAGTAAAGAGTACACATTTGTACTCTGAGTTTTGAACAGCTGAGTACAAATAAAACCTTAAAATGAGACAGAAAAAAATATCAGAAAGATTTTTTAACTGCTTAACTAAGTAATAATTAATTTAGGATGACAAATTCAGCCTAGAAGATTAAAGTAATATTCCAATATCTCTGCATTAATTTATTTGCTTTTTGAAAGCTGAGTCTGGCCAATTCGATATTAACACAGGCACTGCTACTGGCCACAGTACACACTGGATACTGCTATATACCACACGTGTACCTTTCTTTGCAATCCATTCTTTCTTTCACTTGAATCGAATTTGGTCCCCAGGTACAACCTTTTTTCTTGAAATTTCTTTTTACGTCTTCAAATTCTTCTTGCCGAAAGACTGCGTTCCTGCCCCAAGTTTTATTGCTTTCATCTGAAGTCACTAAACAGAGCATCACCATTAACCAATATTAGCTTTGATAAAAAAGTTAAATGAATCAAATCAGTTGTAAAATTACCTTACTCAAAACATGAAAACAATGAAGAAATGATTTGTTTCACCCAATCACTGGCAAGTTCCTTTCTCTAATCATAAAAATATTATTTTCAATATTTTGTAACAGTCAGGATTTCATTTTCATTTGGGGGAAAAACAGCCAAACTGAACATTTAACTTGAAATGAACTTAGTGCCTTAATTTTTAAACCAAATCAATTAAAATTTTGAACTTAAGGCACAAATGTTATTTTTAAATTGCAACATAAGCTATTTCTTCATTAGTCATCACCATTTTGCTCAGGCACCACACCACTTTGCCTACGGTTGCCTTTTAAAATCTGAAAATATTTAACAGTTTTCCATGTTTTGCTTTTTCCACTATGTCACAGGAAGGTGTATATTCATGTTTAATAGCCACACCTTGCGAATACACTTATATGCTATCCCTCCAGCCTTTAAATGTGCTTATAATTGATTTGGCAATCACTAAGGAAAACTGCTGCTATTAATACACATGTAGGAAAAAAAGAATCTGAAACATACCATGTTCTAAAAACAGTTTGAAACCTTAGGATGTGCGTATACAATAAAATACCCTGTGCCCACAAAAGATGCAGTACAGAAAAAAAACGGTAAAGTTTATATCATATTTCATACTATATGCATTTTTGTTCAAAATTATGTTTATGCATGTGAGTATATACAAATACACACACATAGAGAAGTTAATAAATACAGATATCAAACTTTAATTAAAATAATCCTCTCTGATGGAGAAGATTACTTATGTAAAGAGGGAAATTTGAACTTCTTTATATCGTTTTATTAAATTGTATACATTGTGGGTGATGTTTGATTTTCTTCTGAGTGTTTTAATATTTTCCAAATTTTAAAATATCGATGTGTGTATATGTCTGAGAACATACGTGTAGATGCATGCATACATGGACATGTGTGTCTGATGATCTTGAAGAGTTGTCTTGGTCTTTGCTTGTTATGCAGAGAGATAAGTGTGACAGGGTACCATTGGAGGGCAGAGGAGGGTTACTGATCTTTTCAGCTGTATCAGCTCTTTGGAAAAGTAAGTGTTCTAAGTTTACTATCCACTATGATACTCTGTTATTGGAAAATACATCGGGGATGCACAACCGCAGCAGGTTCCTGAAATAGCAGGAGACCATGTAATCGACTTTCCCACTGTTCAATTCTATTCAGCAACAGAGAAAAGGTGTGTTTTTGCCCTTGCTTTTTCACCGTGACTTCTGAGAATGAATGCCAAGGATGCTCCTTCCTAAGCTACATTTCAACTCTGTGGGGTCAAATCCTGAAAGTATTCACTTTAACTAGTATAAATCTTGGGCCCAGCCAGACCTACCCATTACCACTGCCTCACTTCCATGAGCTGGTATTCCCCAGGGCAGAAGGTGAGGACACAGGGAAGAGGGCAGGGGGATGGCTGGGCAAAGGTAGAGGTGGTATAACTCCCCATCCACCCGTCCCTTCTCCGGAGCTGGGAGACAGCCCTGAAGCCCTTTCTTGATCCTTTGACTAGGCCCCTACTCTGTCGAGGCCAAAGGCAAGGTAAAAAGTACAGCTTTATGAAAAATGCATTCTCAGAAAGATCAATCAATTGTGATAAGAGATGGTGTTTAAGTTCTAAGAAATCCAGCCTCGTTTAGATCCCACTTCACCATACGGTGAGGATCCTATGTCTGGGAGCTTGCAAAAGAAATCTCTGCTTGTGCCAAGGTTTTCATTTACCAAAAGAGAAGGGAAAAAATGGTAAATTTAGTTCAGGCTTCATTTGAGAAAATTTTCTTTTGGAATTTTTTTTTCCTCCAAATAAAGACAGGTGAGCAGGAGGGAATTAAGTTTGGTGGAGAAAGGAGAGGCTTTAAATCAGGGGTCCTCAAACTTTTTAAACAGGGGGCCAGTTCACTGTCCCTCAGACCATTGGAGAGTGCACACTGTGGGCCTGGGACGAGTCGGCTGCTAAGCAGGACAGGCAGCCGTGGCAAAAACACCTGGCGGGCTGGATAAATGTCCTAGGAGGGAGGCATGTGGCCCGTGGGCCATAGTTTGAGGACGCCTGCTCTAAATGAAAGGTTTAATAAGGTAAGTTAGTCTAAATACCACTTTACTTACAGATGGTCACATGAATCACATGCTTCTTTTGCTTAGCCCACTTTTAGGGGCTTATTTAGACTCATCTTTAAAAAAAAGTCAATAATTTTTTATTTTCATGCCACTAAACTCTGATCCGGGATCTAACTGAAACTCTCAACGTGCAAACAAAGGTGCCAGGCAAATCAGCTGTACGTATTGTCTCCTCCAGGCTGAGTGCTTCTTCCAAAACCAAAATACTACGAGAAACTTTGAAGTATTAAGTTGGTCAAACCTGAAGTGAATTTAAAGTTAAATCTCCAAGAGCAAAATCTTTTTTCCTCTCACAAAACAAGGAAAGAAATGGAAGTCATCCTGAATCTCTGACTTCATTTTTCAAAATATCCATCCAGAAAGGACTGATGATATAATTAGGTTATGTTAATTAATGCGTGCAAGTGTTTAACAAAATGTCACAAGATGTGGCATTTCACTTTCTACTCCAGGGCCTGGTCACGTGACAACCGCCTAGCACCTAACACTTCACATGCCGTGAGTATAAGAAAATGAGATGAAGGAAGTTCAGCCCAGATTTTGTTTTTCCAAATAGTGGTGGCATCTATGAAATGTCACACGCTCAGTTACAACCTGCTATCCAAATATGTCTTGCTTCATTTAAATCCAAGTCGCATAAATGACAGACATCAACACAGAAGCCCCCCGCGGTGGCGGGGCAAGCTCACACTGTATAGCTCGGAGCCGGGGTATCACAGTGGGGCTGCTGGGCGGGCTGGAACTGCTGCTGTTCAGACTCCGCCGTTTGTCCAGGTTGGGAGAGGCCTGCACGGTTATCTTGTGCTGGAAATCTGTGGATACAGAAACACAGCAAGAACTGACATTTCATGGTTTGAAGTTAGTTTCACAGCCATGTCTTGAACCCATGGTCATAAAGGCCCAAATTGCCAGACAGTGACTATGAAGTATATATTGCAGAGTCTGTTTCTTGCTTTGGTTTCTTGACTTGTCAGAGTTCAAGAGAATAAATAATGACTCAGAGCTTACACGTTAGGTACCATGAGATACACACACACACACACACACACACACACACACACACACACTGAGAAATGAAATATTACTGAATCCTCGGAGAACTTGACAGTGTTCTGGGAAGAGTTACCTGCCTTCAGTCTGAGGTAGTTAAAAAACAAAACTGAAATAGAACACCCTGGGTTTAAATGAGTCCTGGTTCTGTCATTCACAAATCATGGATCTCAAACCAGCAAGGAACCCTCTGAGTCAGTTTTCTGACCCGTTAAATGGGAACAATATCTCACAGTGTTGCTGTAGTGAGAAAACCGAAAATGTAGGTTAAAAGCATTTTGTGGTCAAGGACTAACTATAATCTGGCAGAGAGGTGCCAGAAACTATGGAAATATATGGGAGAAAGAGTAAAATTACTGGAAAAGGAGAATGTCTGAGAAAACTTTGTAAATTGTCAGGAAAATCATGCCAACTTGGATATAGGTAAAAGACATTACTGGGTGTTCTTTCAATGCAGTGCTAAGCCTAACCTTTGATTGACTGCTTTGCTACTGACTGGCTTATTTTTATAACTAGGTAGGGCAGAGGTTAACCTGTAGATTTTGTCTGGTGATGATGCAAATAATTTCTGTCTGGTGAAAAAGGCAACCCCAAAGGTTACGGTCTACTTCCATATGGGGCATCAACCAGGTTTGTATTTAACCCAGCAATCTAATCCTGACATTCCTTTATTAAATTGGCCATAAATACCTAGTTCCTCAAATTCTCATCTCAACCGGTTTTATCTGGTTCCTCACCAATTAAGGAATCTAATAAAATCTTTGATAAAGGTTCATTCCATATTTGAGAGAGAGCTGTAATTTACCTTTTTGGAAATTACACTTTAAATAACTTTAATGAACGACCTGGTATGTGAATTGAAGAGGATTTGGGATTTGGTAGGCAAAGACAACTCTCCAATTGTTCATGCTACAATCTAAAAATGTTTCTTGATGTCTTCTCCCTGACGCTACACATCCATCAAGCGCAAAACAGCTGATAAATTCTGTGTTATACATTTTTCTTATAGTAGAGAAATTTCTTTTCCAGGTTCTAGAGGTAGCACAGTTGGATTTGAATGCCAATTCTAGCACTTACTGGCCATGTGAATTTTGGGAAAGTAACTTAACCTCTTGAATTCTCAGTATTGTCATGTATACAAATGGAAAAAGAAACCCCAATTACTCCTTATTTCATGGGACAGCTATGAAAAATACAAAGAAGTATAAAAAGTACTTAGCACAGGGCTCAGGACATAAAAAATGCTTAATAAATGTTAGTTACACTTTTTGTTCTATCTCCACGGCTGCCATCATTTCATGCCTAGGCTGCTACAATTCCTTGTAGCCACCTTCCTGCATCTACCTTTAGCCCCTTGAGTCTACTTCATAGAAGCCAGATGCATTTTTTTAAAAAAAATTCACTGATATATCACAGTTGCACATATTTGTGGGGTACATGTGATATTCTGATACAATGTGTAATGGTCAAATCAGGGTAACTTTGATATCCATCACCTCAAACATGTATCTTTTCTTTGTGTTGGGAGCATCATAATTCTTCTCTTCTAGGTATTTTCACATATATAGTAAATTCTTAACTATAATTTCCCTATTGTACTATCGAATACTAAAACTTATTCCTTCTGTCTAACTGTATGTCTGTGCACCTTAACCACTTAAGTACAGCGCTCACCGGCTGCGAACCCTTGCCCACAGCCCGCACTCACAGTCCGCACGACAGTTTGTGCTGTGCATTGACAATGAATCGTTTTGCTCTTGTGTGATGAGGAAAGCTTTAAAGGACTGAAAGCTTGTTTTACTTTACAGGCAGCTTTACTTGTGATGTAAATCAGAATAGGTAACATACACATATATGTTTTCATTATGTTATTTTTAAATGTTCACAATTTTATTTTGATAAATGAAAAATTAGAAAAGTCATATCATGGCTGTCGGCTAAAGTCGCTGTGCACGTTCATCTGTGGCTGTCGACTATAGTCAAGGCTCATACTGAAGTGGTTAACCAACTTCTCTCTTAGTTTTTCCTCCCCCCTGCCCTTCCCATGCTCTGGTAACCACCAATCTACTCTCTACCTCCATGAGATCTACTTTTTAGCTCCCACATAAGAGTGAGAACATGTGCGACATTTCTTTCTGTGCCTGGCTTATTTCATGTAACATAATGATCTCCAGTTTCATCCAGGTTATTGCCAATGGCAGGATTTCATTCTTTTTTTTTTGAGATAGAGTCTTGCTTTGTTGCCCAGGCTAGAGTGAGTGCCGTGGATCAGCCTAACTCACAGCAACCCCAGACTCCTGGGCTCAAGCAATCCTGCTGCCTCAGCCTCCCAAGTGGCTGGGACTACAGGCATGCACCACCACGCCCAGCTAATTTTTTCTATATATATTAGTTGGCCAATTAAATTCTTTCTATTTATAGTAGAGACGGGGTCTCGCTCTTGCTCAGGCTGGTTTCGAACTCCTGATCTTGAGCAATCCACCCGCCTCGGCCTCCCAGAGTGCTAGGATTACAGGTGTGAGCCACCGTGCCCGGCCGGATTTCATTCTTTTTATGGCTAAATAATATTCCATTGTGTGTATGCACATTTTCTTCATCCTTCCCCATCTCTCACCATATACAAAAATCAACTCAAAATGTAATAACAGTTTATTTGTAAGATTTAAATGTAAGACTGGAAACTGCGAAACTGCTAAAAGAAAACACTGGGTTACACTATAAGACATTGGTCTAGGCAAAGAATTTGGGAGTAAGACCTCAAAAGCACAGGCAGCAGAAGCAGAAACACACACATGGGATCACATCATGCTAAAAAGCTTCTGCACAGCAAAGGAAACAATCAACAAAGTGAAGCGACAGCCCACAGGATAGGAGAAAAAAAGCTTTACAAGCTACCCATCCAACAAGGGATTAATAAGCAGCATAGATAACGAACTCAGTAACTCAAACCCAAAAAACGAACAAATAAAATTACACAAATAATCCCATTTAAAAATGGGCAAAAGACCTACATAGACATTTCTCAAAAGAAGAAATAAAAATGCCAATCAATAGGTATATGACAAAATGCTCAGTATCACTAACCATGAGGGAAATGCAAATCAAAACCACAATGAGATATCATCTCACCCCAGTCAGAATGGCTATTATCAAAAAGGCAAAAAAATAACAGCTGCAGTTTTTGAAATGCCTGACTGACCATGTCATTCCCCTGCTTAAAATCCTTCAAAGGCTTCTGATGATTCTTAAGTTACAGATTAAAACTGTAACAAAGTCTTTAAGCCCCTGCAAATCCGAGTCTGGGTTCTTGACGTTCCTGTCTCATCTCGCCCGATCCTCCCCTTACTCCTCATGGTCTAAATCAGGGGTCAGCACACTTTTTCTGTAAAGTGCCACGTTTTTAGGCTTTGTGAGCTGTACAATCTATCTCAACTACCCAGCTCTGCCAACATAATGAGAAACTAGCCACAGACAATACATATTTTTATAAATGAATGTGTTCCAGTAAAACTCTCTTAATGGATATTGGAATTTCAGCTTCAAGTAATGTCAGGTATCATGAATTATTATTCTTCTTTTTATTTTTTTTTTCAAGTCTTTAAAAGTATACAAACCATGGGCTGTACAAAACAGGAATAGGCTGGAGTAGGCCCATGGGGCATCATTTGCTGACCCTGGCCAAACCACACTGGATTTTTTTTCAATTCCTGGAAGACACCAAGCTTTCACTGCATGTGCTCTGTGCCTGTTTCCCTCCTTCCCCCTGTGTATTTGGTCAATTCCCACATCAAGTCTCAATTTAAATGTTACTTCTTTAGGAAGCCTGCTATGATCACCTTAGACCAGGTTACATCTCTGCACTAATCACTGTCATATGACTTTTCCCTCCCAGCAGTTAATAATTACAGCAAGCAAGTGAGTATTTGTTTAATCATTAGCTTAAGGTCTGCCACCTCCCCCAGGAAAATGTAAGTCCTACGTGGGCAGAGACCATGACAGTCTCCATCCCTGTTTCTTCCTCCACCAAACTGGCACAGTGTCTTGCACAAAAAATGGTGCTTAGAAAACATTGCTCAGTGAATATTTTTATCTGTGAAAATTGTAAGTAACATGAGTGGAGAGATCTTACGTATTTTATCATAACCGCTTGTACTTGGTACAGCAGCTCCTTCAGGGTTTGTGGAATGAGAAAGTTAGACAAGGCTTATCAACAGGATCAAACCGGTGCTTAAGGCTAATTGCTAAGAAATACAGAGCAGGGTGGAGGCGGTTTGGAAGACAAAGCAAATAGACCCGGAGTACCAGAGGGGAGGCTTTCTCCTTCTACTGAATGAGAAGTTATGAAAGATTTGACCAGCACAGAGCAGTTTACGTAAAGAATGGAGAGAAATAAAGAGTTCAGTAGGGCGTGATGACTGACTAGACATGGTAGTATGGTGGAGGTGGGGGGAACAGGTGGTAAAGGAAAGAAAGAAATGGTCTTACCCACAGATATGAAACAGTTTATTCTAGATTGAAGTTATCTATAAAGGTTCCACGAGCCACCCGATTGTTACAACACTAAAGAAGCAAATTCTTTGTGAACTTTTATAACAGGAGGAGCCCTATGGTCTGTAGCAGAAGACAGGCCAAGAACAAAGCCACAGGATTTGAATGACAAATTTTGGGGAACAAATGATGGGACAAGAGATACTAAGTACAGGTCAGGTAACCAGCGTGGAACATGGGTAGGCCACAGATGAGGAGCAAAGATACAATGCCGGATTTTAACAATACTTAAGATTCAGAGTGCTTTGGAACTTCTGAAAACGCACAAATACGTTCACTTTTTTAAAAAAGCACTCTTTATGTTTTAAACATAAAGAAAAACGTTCTGTATTTTAAGCATTCTTGTCCCTTTGAAGCAGGGAAAGGTTGAGTCTGTCTCAGGTAAACATTCAGAAAAACTAAAACTGAATTGTCAAAGTAACTGTGCCTCACACTCAGGTTTTCTTTGCACATTTGGTAGAAAAGAATGGTTCTCAAGATTCCTGCTCATGGCAATTATTATGTAGTCACAGGCTTCTGAGTAAAACTGACACTAGTATTTTTGTTGGTAATATTGAGATATCATAACAAAGCTAATGTAGCCTCGGTGAGAACAATCACTTGCACATGAAAAGGAGTATTATTTCTAATGAATCCTGGTGAAGTATTTGCTTTCTCCCATCCACACACTCACACACGTGAGGTGGCTGGTCTTTGCGGGCTTCTGGCCCTTGTGAAGTCCTTGAGGTGAGAATGCCACTGCTTCAGAGCCAAACCAACTTTGGGAGGCTTTAAAACCTCTTAGCCTTGTTTGAACACGTCCTAAAAACACAGCTTCGGTTCTAAATAGACATAGTACAGAGGGAGTGATATAAAGTGGTCCCCACATAAAAACATCCACTGTGTCCACACTTTTTTCCTTCTAAAAAAAGTCTAAGAAAAATACTAAATATTCAAAAAGTGTCATTTTAAGACTATTATCCTAAATTATAGCTGTCTCGCCTCCTAAGCATTAATCTTCCTTATTTGGTAACCAACTATGAAGGAATTCCAGCAGGAATAAAACTACATTTGGGTTTTCTGTAATAGCAATAAGTCACCATAGCTATAAATAGCCATTCGATTAAAAATGATCAACAGTGTGATTCTCAGGGACAAAATTATGAGTGAATCTAATCTAATTATTCATATTGAAGACATCTTTGAAAGATATATAGACACAAATATTAAGGGTCAGTTTATGGGAGTCTCAACTATTGCTTTTCTCAAATATGTTTCTGTAGGTGTGTTTAGAACTGGAAGAGTCTAATTAGAAAAAGGGTTTCTGGACTGGCACAGCTATTACTGAAACCTATCGCCCTCTTGTGGGCAGGAGAAGTAACTGTCGTGCTATATTCCAGAAGCCAGATTTAATTTCTTCAGGATGCATCAGAACTACAGCAGTAGACTTTTCGGTTGTTTTAACTGGAATCTTTAATTAAGTGCCACAAAGTAAATAAATGTGTAACTAAAATGTCTTCTCTATTCTCAACTATAAAAACGGCCAAATAGTGTAATCTAGAAGTAAAAGGAATCTAGCAAAAATAGTCAAATATATTCAGTCTGCTTTGAATAATTTCAAAATATTAGCCAAGGAACATTTGAGAAGAAAAGCAAGAGTGAAAGTTTGACATCAGGAATCCTAAGATATTTTATTTAATCACTCTACCATTGCAATGATTTAACTGTTTTCTTCCAAGTTTATTTCCCTAACTATCAGATTCTTATTCCCTGCCACCTCCCCCAGAGTTTCCTAAGGGAAACAATAAATATTAAATGACAATAACATAATCAAAACACAGATATGAGAAAGCTGATAGAGCTGAGAACTGAAGAATCTAGTGCTTCTCTGAATTTTTCTATCATCTATGCTTAAAATCAGAAACCACACCATAGATAAAATAGTCTATTTTTTAAATTATGGCTGACTAATACCTAAGACAGTTCAGTGGTCCTCCAAGTAACACTCCTGCTAAGAGCAAACATCAGAAGAGAATCTGGAAAAGTACCACCCTCACCCCCAGAGAGGTTGAATGTAAAATGTGTAAGGACCTATTCTCACCTCAGCAACCCAAATGATCGATAATGTATTAATGTATAGTGGGTGCTAATGACTGCCACAAACTAGCAATTTTCTGAACAACTGACAATATCTGCAATAACCAAAAATGTCACAGTGTGCTGCAAGACTTCCAGTATTTTGTAATAAGTATTTTACAAGACAATTTATACACACTTGATATAAAACAAATCTGTTGTTATTGTTATTTCAATCAAATTTCCATGTGATTAACAAATGTCTTAGAAACACACTAGCACCTATAAATAGGTATATATAATATTATATATTAAATTATATATTAAATATATAATAAATATAATAAATATAAAATATATATTAATATATTAAATTATATAATTTATATATAAAAGGTGTATTTAATATATAATACATATATGCATAAGTATATATATGTTTAATACACATTCCATAAAAGTACAGTCTGCTCTTGTCACCATCCTACCCTGGTACTAGAAACAATCACAAAATATAGTCGGATATTTGGTTTTTCCTTAAATCAAGTGTAATACATAATATTAAAGAATTTAATTCAGTGAATTAATATATGTTTGCTATTTTCTATTTTTTTAGTTTCTCCTAATACATTACTAAACGGATTTAGTAATCCTTTTATGTTATTGTCATACTGTTTAAAAAAGTTTTTAAAAGCTCTCCCAGATATACTGGTTCATTTTTGTGCCTCAAGGACTTTAGACTTCTTGGATGAAAGCAGGAATTCACTGAAGTACGTGATATATTTTGCTGAATATATCAGTGTCCCAAATGAACTCAGATACCAGCTGACATTATAGAGCCTTACGAAAGCAATGAACTTAATGATAAAATACCACAGTTTTTTGCTCTGGACTTTCACAATAAAATGTAATGCTGATAACTTACAATCAGCTAAAAAGAGGTTCTGCTTTGATTTCGAAAGGAATAAATCAACAAATGCATTAACATGAAAGTATACTGAGGATTAAATACTCACAGTGCAGTCAACTGCAATGTGTTCCTTATGCTGTTTCCTACATGAAACCTCTTTGGTCATTACATTAGGACCATGAATTTAAGCCCCGACTGAAGATACTTACTCGGCCACAATCTTATTTCCCCAGCTCTCTCCCAGTTCCGGTGACATTAAGAAGCTGATTAAAAAGGATGACACACAAAAACCTTGAAAAAAAAAAACATGAAAACAAAATCATACCTGAAGGTAAACTGATTCGATGTCCATCTTTGAGCTTCAAACGGCTTCTCTTAAACTTCCCTTTCCTCTTCTTCACCTTGGGCTTCTCCTGGTTTAACTGGAATATCAAAATGTTAAGTTCCCGCTCCAGCACGTCGATCTCCCGCTCTGCGAGCTGCTGTTCGCGCCGCTTCAGCAATTCTTCCTGGGACTTCTGCTGCAGAGCTGCTCGAGTCAGCTCCTCTTCCCGGGACCGCAGCTCCTGCCGCAGAGATGCACGTGGGAGAATCATTCCACGCAGGAAGAATGACAGTTCGGGTCTATTACACTCCCCTTAGCTGCTGTAGGCTGGTGCACAGAAAGGCTGAAATTCCCTCCTTCCCCAGCATATATCTTACATGATAAGCAAAACCTTTCCATGGGCTTCCTTCCCCTCTGCTAGTTTTAGGATCCTAAAAACAGGCATCACAAGTCTTTCACGCCTGATTTTTAACATTTCGCTCTCTCTCTGCCACCTGACACATAAAATGTACATTAACACACAGCAACAAAGTATAGATTGTGAATGACCCATTTTAAAATGAAGCCAAAAGTTAAAAGCTCAATTGATGAAAGAATAATTATTCTAGTTACAAATGACTGCAGTTCAGACTTCTTTACTGAGGCAGTTTCTTAAGGTAGTATGAGTCTGCTTAAAGAATCAAACATCTTGGCAACACTATTATTAAGTGAGACTTGAACAAAGCTAACATGTTGGGAGTCCATTGAAGGGATGTCAAAAATGAAAATAAGACACCTCTAAAATTATAAGCCAAAGGCAAATATATTCAGTATATGAAGAACTTCTCAAAATCCCACTGATGTATGGAAAGTACCACTTTATAACAGATTTCATGAGTTAGCTAATAAAAAATTATTCTGTCATGATGCTTACTGATAAAAGTCAAACGTTCTCTTAGTTTTGGATTTTGGTTACTGAACTTCTGAAAAATAGGAAAAAAAATCTATTAATTAAAAATACTTGTATTCCTATTAGGAAAAAAAATATTCTACAGTAAAACTGAGAACTCTATCCCCATTTTTATTTCATTTCTACAAAGTGTTCTGTTCTTTACCAGAGATATAAATATTGCTTTTAGTGCTAAACTACTTGCTATTCTAAATTACCCTGCTAGGAAATCAAGCACTCACATAGAAATCAAGGCATTTGCAAGCTTTTATTTACACTGCTCTAGACAAATTTAATCTTAGAACACCCTGATACTACAATCTTTGTGAGAAATTGTAGATGCCTTCTCAAGTAGAGCTTTGCACCACGAGCTCTGAGAACTGTGAGTATTGTGCAAACATTTCCTACTTTATATAAGCAGACCACACTTTGAATGCTGACCCATGAAGAAACACTGTAAGATGAAGGCTCCTGGAAGAAACTAGAGCCAAACCATGGGACTGAAATGCCAATTCAAATCTACTAATCCCCTGGACTTCTTACAGATGGACTGAAAGAGTAATTTGAGTCTATCTGTCAGTACAATTATCACAAAGGTAAATAAACATAGAAGACCATCTTCCCACAAATAAACAGGACAATATCAAGAAGAGACCGGGGAGTGCTCATAACAGAGAAATGTATTTATTCAGATCAAAACAATTCTGAATTTATCGTAATGCTACTAAAGTGGACTGAAATTCAGCTTTGAAGCTTTCTTTAAATTTATTTTTTTGCAAACAAATTGCATAAGCAAAACTTCAAGAAAAATGATTTACTTTAGACCAATTGATGTTCAAATTACTCCGACTAATAGGTATCAGTTGGTTCGCATTTATAGCGCAGATTGGTATTTATTTCTTCATGACACTGTAATACTGTGTATTACTTGAAAAGAAAAAATGTTACATGCTAAAAAATTCTGTAATCCATTTTTAAATTGATACCTTTTATCCAAATGGAACATTTTATTGTAGTGTATTTGGGGACAGCAATAATTTCCAGTCAACTTCCAATTTCTAATTCATTACTGTCTCTACCTTTTTGTCAAGATATTACTTTTCAGTGGTGTTGATATCAATCCAACTAGCTATTGTTAAATGAGATGGCATGAGAAAGAGATAAGGGCAGCAAACTCAATTAGGCTGTGTGTTACCACTACAGTAATAGAATAAAGAAAACACTTTTAATTCCATGTCCCAACCTAAAATTCCCTTGCAACAACTTTACAAATAAAAAAAAAAAAAACTTACTTCTTTAAGACTTCATAAGAGAAAAATCTAAGATTGAAGAGAAGGCAGTAAAAGTAATTTTCCTTCTGAATGAACTTTAAAACATTCAAAAGTAAATTTTTAAAAAGGTCTGAGGTATTAGAAGAACCCTTTTTGAAAACTTTGAAATTATGAAGCACACAAAAAGAATTCTTTCGGTTGATGAGATTGCTAGCAGTAATATTTATTTAATTGCTTGGCACAAGCCACTCTGGTAATGGCAAATCCAGATTCCTGGCAGTGGAGGTTAATCATTAACAATGACATGCCTTCACAGACTGGGTCAAAGACAGGTGCATGCACATAACGCACAAAGACAGACACACAGAGATAAGAAGCCAGGAATTTAGGGAGGACCTGGTATCTATGGAGGCTACAGTTTACTGAGTAACGCGGACCACAGCCAAGTTACTGACCATTAATTCCAAGTCTGACGCCTCCTACTTTAAGCAATCAGTGAACAAGAAAGGGAGATAGAGCACGTACACTGTGCTTTTAACTTCATCAAAAAAGGTGTAATTACTTTAAGCAAAAAAAAAAAAGTATTATATATTCTTTAATTGTAAACCAAATGGCTCACGAAATACCATAAATGCTGCATTTCAAGGAGCAATGCACGAAAGTCAAATAAAAAGTAAAAACAGACACGATAACAAGATAACTCAAAAATCAATTAAAGAAAAAAAACCCCAAAACAAAGAAACTACTATAAGCCTCAAAATGGAGAAAGAACTGATGTCCACTCTTGAAGCATGCTTTTATTTTTATACCACATGTAATAAGAACTCACTGGAAATGCCTATATCCTCTAGTTTCATAAATAATTATCAATAACTAAAAATAATTAAACAAAATAGGTTAAAATAATAGTAATTAATTATTAATTACATCACTTCCAAAGTATACATTCTGTGATTTGAAGCTTCATTTTTTTTCTCAAAACCTTCTCCTGCTCTGCAAAGTATTTTTCATTTTTGTAATTAATAAACATCTAACTTTAGAATTCCTGAAAACAATCTGGGGAAGTATAAAAATTTTAAAAATCAGAGACTTTCCCTTATCATTTTAAGTCAACAAAATGTATTAAAGTTTCCAAGAAACATATCAATAGTATCACTGATGGTAATCCTTCAAAGAGCAGTAGGATTTAAAACACGATCCAGTCTGTGCTTTTCCCAGCACCAGTCCTCAGAACCCTGTCTCCCCACGCCTGGCCAGGGAACAGGGGGAGTCTGAGCCAGTCAGCTTCTGCCAAAGTATTGAGCACTTACTAAGTATGAGGCTCCACTCTGAGCACTTTGCATTCATGACTCAAGCCTCACACCACCCCTGCAGGAGACAGCTGCTATCTGTGACCATTCTAATGCTGAGGAAGCACAGCAAGTAACAAAATCTGAAGCCACACAGCCAGCACGCAGCAAAGCTTGAAGGTCAACCAGGCCTTCCGGATCAGAGTTATCGGTTTTAAGCACCATACTAGGTTGCCATAGATTCTGGCACTCGAAAAAGACTTCATATAAGAAAAAATGGTTTGGAGGTGTGGTCTGTAATATTTTTCAGAGTTCCATACAGACACTCCACTCGAGTCCCTCCAGTGAAGGAAGCTGACAGTTGATGAGACGGTGCATTTCACCACTAGACAGCTCGAAGGGCTAGCTGGTTGTTGATTTGGAGACCAGATTTCAATCCCTGGAGCATTCACTAGAGATCCTACTTCCAAACTCTGGAATAACTTGCAATTCATTTCTTCCTCTCTGTACCTGAAAGTCCTCCCAGTACTAAAGGACAGCCCTTGCACTCCCCACCCCCTTCTGTGCTGTTTCTGTTCTTCCCATCCTAAGCTCAGATTTCCGGGTTCCCTGCCTTCACCTCCACCCTCTCTGGAAGGCCCCTTAAAACATGGAGCTCACAGTCAGATGCAACTCTGTGGGCATGATTGGGACAGGGAAAAATTGGATTCGTATTTCTTGCTCATGAACTCCATATATTTATTAGTGATGTCATGGTCTTAGGTTGCATTTACCTGTTTTATTTATGTGTGTCTGTGTGTATGTATATGTGTATGTGTGTGTGTGTGTGTACATATATATATATGTTTTTGATACAGGGTCTCCATTCATCACCCAGGCTAGAGTGCAGTGGCACCATCATAGCACTACAACCTTGAACTCCTGAGCTCAGGTGACCCTCCTGCCTCAACCTCCCAAATAACTGGGACTACAAGTATGCACCACCACACCTGGCTAATTTTTTTATTTTAGGTAAAGATGGGGTCTCACTGTGTTGCCCAGACTGGTCTTGAGCTCTTGGCCTCCTCTCACCCCAGCCTCCCAAAGTGATGAGATTACAGGCATGAGCCACTATGCCTGGCCTATTTTATATTTTTAAGCTTACAAAATACTGAAAAATCTAAGGAAGAGAATGGATAACTTATACATCTACTTCTTTAAAAAGTGATTTTAGCAGCTTACATTTATCTTTCTAACCATTATTTTTAATCATTTTAAATTGTGAAATATTTAAAATATTCCATAATTAGAGGGAATGACAAATACTTACGCCCTTACCATTAATACTTAATAGATGCTAAATTTTTACTGTCCTTGTTTTAGGTCGGTCAAAACCCCATGTGCACCAAACTCTAATCCTATCCCCTCCCCTTTTCAGATCTGCTCTTCTTAAATCAGTGGGCATCCTTCCTCAGCCTGTACTTTCAGCCTTTTTTATACACTTGAATGGTATTGTTTTTGTTTTATAAATTTACATAAATGGTATATAATGTAACTATTCCTCTGCCACTCAGTTTTTTCCACCCAACATTATGTTTAGATTTATTCACATGGGAACATGTTGCTAGGGTTCATTCATTTTAACTACAGCACCTTCTCAAATAATGTTGCTTCATTCAACATTGTTTTGTTATAACATTGATGATGAAACAAATCAATTCCTAGCTGGGGCCGCAGTCTGTGAGGAGTCTGCATGTTCTCCCCACGTCTGCACAGGTTTCCTCTCACATCTCAAAGATGTCCTTGCTGGGTTCATTGGTGCATCTATAGGGCTCTAGTCTGAGCCAGCGTGGATGTGCATGTCATGCACCCTGCCATGGGATGGCGTCCCATCCAGGGCTGGTTCCTGCCTTGTGCCCTGAGCTGCTGGGATGGGCTCTGTCTACCCATGACCCTGAACTTAAATAACTGGGTAAATAATTTTCTTCCTTGTTTTTAATAATCACTTAAAAATGTACGTATAGCTCACATTTATTTCAATGTTTACTATTAGAAGTGTTTTGGTCTTTATTTATAAGTTTGCTGGATGTCTTTGTGACCAGAAATATTCCATAGGTACTGGACTCTTGTTTCAGTCAATTAGCCTATGGTAAAATCATTTTATTATATGTCATTTTGCTTGAAGTCACAGTTTCTAAGAACCTACTGACAATGTCAAGTGAGGACTTAGCTGTACTGTACAGATTCCCATTGTATGATATACAACATTTTAGTCATCTATTCCCTTACTAATGGATATTGAGGTTGTTTCTAGCTTTTCACTCTTACAAACAACGCTTAAGTGAATAGCATGTTTCTCTGTGCACGTGTGTGAGAGTTTCTCAATAATCTATAACCAGAAGTTAAACAGTTCAGTTTAACTGTATGCCTCTTTTGTATAATAGGATACATAACAGGATTCATAACAATGTATATACTTTTAAATTGGGTGTTCACTTAAAACCATAATAATAATGATTTATATAATTGCTACTATCTCTCAACTATTAAAATACATATCAGGAGCATATTAACAAACCGTACTTAGGTTTATTTACTGTATTTATTTAATGTTTGCCAGGTGCTGAAGACTGTGTTCAATGCTGTAGATGCAAATGAACAAGAATGTAACAGCACAGCTCATGAACTTACTACCTCACAGAAGAGGCAGAGCAAGAAGGAGTAAACAAGCAAAGACTAATCGAGTACGACATGCTGCGGTGATAAGGGAAGCACAGTTTATCCAGCACAGCAGCGTGAGGGAGGGAGCCATCAGGAACTGAGAATGGAGGGGCCGCCACTCATGGGGTGGGGGCAGAAGCTAGGGAGGGAAGCAGGCTCTCAACAGAGAAAAGAGCACGTGCAAAGGCCTCAAGTCAGGAGCATGACATCAATGGAACTGGGAGAAATTCAGTACGGCAGGGACAGAGGCAGTGGAAAAGTGAGGCTGAGTGTGTAAGGAGACAGGAAGTGACTAAGGAAAAGAAGCTGGCTACGGGAGCAAAGCTGATCAGATGTCCATTTTATAAGGAGGAAGGGACATATCAGAGCAGTGAAGCGGGATGCACAGTGCCCAGTCGGGCTGATGCAGCCACGGTGCTGGTGGGGACAGTAGGATCAGGCGGAGAATCGCCACCAATGGTCTTTGTCACATAGAAGACCACAGGAAACACTGCCGAAGACCCTTGAGACTGGGCACCTGGGAGAACAGTGATCCCATTACCACAAATAAGGAAGAGAATGTGGGATGGCAGAGGGAGTGTGGGGAGGAGGTTCTGACTCCATGTCTGGCTCAAAAGTGTTGCCAAGATATTCCACGGAGCCCCTTTTTGAAACCTGTCACCAAGGTCCAGATCACTAGCCTGGCAATCAAAGGACCGTTCAAGGGTACAAACTGCCATCTCCAATCTCTGAATCCGAAAATTCTAGCACTGCCCTCAGGACACAGCACCTATTCAATATATGTTTGCTGAAAAAGTGTATAACATTGAAACTCAATAATTTCACCATAGTCACGTTCTTAAATCATTTTCTGGGTTTTTTTTTTTTTTGGAAAATAATGTGCATTTTTGGGAATGCCTATGACATACCTTGTATTAATTTCCAATTTAGCATGGTAACAGAAGTAAGATACTTGAAAACAGAATCTGGGCATATAATGTCTTAGTATCATGCACAGTTTTATGTACATTAGCTCAGGAAATGATTATGCAAATATATAAATCATGATTTATTATGCCCTTGTCTGTGCTTTCTTCTGGACTTAGGTTGGCTACTGGCCTTCTGTGTATGATCACTGTGAAAGTCTGGAGCTACAGTGCAAAGTCATACTACACAAGTCAAGGTAACTTGATCATGGGAAAATGACTCTTAGCTATACCATAATTCCATGCTTCAAAATCATAAATTGGAATAAACGAATGGCACTCTTTATTTAAGCAAAGTAATATCTGCTTACCTAAAAAGAATTCTACTATTTTAGCATCACAAGTGTATGGGCTATAAAAATTCCTCCCTGGAAGTTTATATGACTTTACAAAGAGCATCGGTAATTTACAATGTTGTACTTTTAACCAAGACAAGACATTTACCACATGTACAACAGAAGAATTTAAACTACTGAACAAGTATACACTTCAGACAACAAGAATGAACCTTGATTTATCAAAATGCTCAAGTATTACATAAATATCTTTTAAAAAACCCAAACACTACTATTGTAGCACAGAGCCCAATTCACTGCCTATCTATCTATCTACCATTTATTTAGAGGCAGTCTCACTCTGTTGCCCTGGTTACAGCGTAGTGGTGTCATCATAGCTCACTGCAAACTCAAACACCTGGGCTCAAGCGATCCTCCTGCCTCGGCCTCCCAGGTAGCTGGGATTACAGGTGCATACTACCACACCTGGCTGATTTTTCTATTTTTTGTAGAGATGGGGCATTGCTCTTGCTCAGGCTGTTCTTAAACTCCTGACATCAAGCAATCCTTCTGCCTTGGCTTCCCAGAGTGCCTTCATTTGTCACCATCTAAAAGAGACCATGCTAACTCAATTCACCTCCCAACTAGTCTACGTTCCAATTACGAGGTGTGTTTACTTCTCATATTTCACCTCATATGCAGTATTAATAATATAACTGCAGCCTCTGTATGTTTATATGCTTATTTATTTCCTTCTTAAAATGTATAAGCTGAGCACAGCTTAACTCATGTTAAAGAGTTCAAAATGTACACATTTTCCTGGTCTCTCCAACAAAGCACCGGCCTTGGAAATAACAGGGGAGTGAATATGGAAGCACTAGCATAACAGAGAGGCTTTCAGACACAATCAAAACAACTTGTAGACCTTGTACAAATTCTGACTTGTATAAACCAACTATGTATAAAAGACATCTTTGTGACAGTTAAACATGGACCAAGTATTATACAATAATTAAGGAATTGTTATTTTTTTAGATAATAATGGCAAGAAAGTTTTTATTTTTTAAATGCTTACCAGTTAGAGGTGTATACTGAAGCATTTATGGATAAAATGATATGAATCTAGGATTTGATTTAAAATACTCCAGTTAAAAAATGATAATGGGGAAAAGAAACCAAAAAAAGATAAAATTATAACAATTATTAAAGCTGGTTAATGCATACAACAGCTTTATTATGTTATTCTTCTCCTTTTTGTTTTACATTTGACAATTCCCCTAACAAAAAGTTTCTTCTCCGATTATACATTTTGAATATACATCTGTTTTGTTTTTGTTTTGTTTGTTTTTAACCTGAAGGGAAAGCAAGAATCAAAAAATACTGACATGTGAAAATATTTTATAATCACACCAACAGTACTTTCGGCTCATATTTCCCCGATCTTCGTAAATGGTGTATATTATGCAATTGAAAATCTCGCTCTCACCTTTTCCTTTGTTCTTAACTCATCAAACATTTGTTGAATTTCCAGCTTCCAGTCATCCTGCATGGAATGAAAAGACTCTTGAGGCATTTCCGTCATCACTGCCCCTTCAATAGCTGTCAGCTGCTCAAGAATTAAGGCAAATGATGGACGAATGTGAGGGTCTTGTTCCCAGCATTCTAAAATAAGCAAGAATCACATTAATCCCACCTCTCAGCCTGGCTCAGATTATCTCCAAGGCATCAGAATGTCTAAGAAATGTTTTACACTGACATGTATTGCAACCTAACATTTGCCATTCTAAACCAGAAGCCGATGTGTATGGTGCCTGCTCCCGAACATTTTAAGAATCTACTGATAATATTTTGAATAATTTATCTTATAGTGCCCATGTCAGAGGCACGCATAATAGTTACTATAAGATAAGACTACGGTTGTCTATATTATGCCACATTTAATAGACAGATGTGTGTTTCCCATACCTTACCATGAACTCTGTATTTCAGCGGCTTAAGCCACCATGACCAGATGATTCACTGATACAGAGTCATATAACTCAACCCAAGAAAACCTACACCTCTAAATTGTTACAACCACAAGAGAAGTTCTAAGAAATAGCCTAATAACGGAAGTAAGGTGACTTGCTGCTTACAAGAAGAGTTGATTACCATTTTTTTTTTTTTTTGAGATAGCTTCTCGCTCGGTTGCCTGGGCTGGAGTGCAGTGGCATCATAATAGCCCACTGCAACCTCAAATGTGTGGGCTCCAGCAATCCTCCTGCTTTGGCCTCCTGAGTAGCTGGGACTGCAGGCACATGCCCCTATAACTGGCTAATTTTTCTATTTTAGAACCACAGCTGGCTTAGTTAACAATTTTTAAAATACAAGGATCAAACAGACAAGGTCATGACATGCTGGTTAAGACTGTAAAGCATTTTTGATCATGGAGTCACATTTGAAACAGCATATTTGTAGACTATTCAATACTGTGTTTGAACTCTACTCGGTGGAAACTTTATTACCACTCAGTTGAGTTTTATACATAAATGAGTCACTGATAAAACTGGATCGTTTTCCTATTACTTAGCTCATCAAAACTTTACCTGACATTTTTAGATCAGAGACTACGTTTCTAATTCGTAAAAGAGCACAGTTACTTAAAAGTAATGGAAAATTGGAATCACAGAAATTGCTATTTTGGTTAAAAAAAAAAAAAATGAGGATGTTCTAACAAGCGATCCTCCTTGCTCCCACAGACACCCAAAATCAAAGGCTGCACAGATACCTTTCATGAGCTTGGCGAACGGCTCAGGGCAGGTGGATGGAATTGGCAAAGTGAGCTTATTGACTGCCACCCCGTAAGCCACTGCAAGGCCATCGATGCCCCGATAGGGGACTTCTCCCGTGAGCAGCTCCCACAGCAGCACTCCATAGCTAGAAAGCAAGGTTTGCACAACGTTCAGTGCACGACACGGTGTCCTGTCCTTCCGACACAGCTGGTGGGATAAACATATCAACACCTCGTCCAGCTCCCAGTGGGAACCTCTCTTCTTCCACCCAAGGCCACGGTGCTAACATGCCAAGGTCAGAGGTGGGCTCTTCCCATTAACAGCTCAAACACATGCAAATCTACTCTGTCCCAGAAATCAAGTGTGCATCCGATATAGGATTTTAAACTACCTGACGAAGAGGAAAGCTTAAAAGTAGTACATAACTGAATTAATCCGAGTCTAGAACGAGGCTACACTGTAAGAGTAATATGGTTGTTTTCCTGTCTCTCCCTCTATCTGCTTTGCCCCACACTTAAATAAAACCTCTCAAGGATTGTTAGGGCACTGAAGAGCACAGCCCCACAGAAATCTCATGCCACACGCCACAGGACGGAGATGGAATCATGTCGATTAACTGTTTTTAGATAGTTTTTTTGAAATTGTTCATCTTCCTGCTCCTCTCTTTATATTTCAGGAGATGTGTTACTAAGGTTTTCACCATATTGCTGAACAGTAACAGGTGAAATGCTTAAGTTACATATATTGCCTTTGAGCAGCCAAAGTCAGAGCCACAAGTGTGCCCAGCCCCCAGGCAGTGTGTACCGCACTCATCAGGTGTGAAAATCCCCAACCCCTCCTCCCCCTCCCACCTGGCAGACACGCAATGAATGATAATCTATACATGCACATAAGTGTTGATGAATTAGTATGAATTTGATGGTGAGTACATGTGGTGCTGATTTTTCACTAACTCTCCTATAAAATAACAGTCTATAAAATAAAACTCTCCTATAAAATAATATCTGCTCTATCTCAAAACAGTTTTATTTAAATAAAAACATACGTAATATATAGAAAGTAGCAATTATAAAATAAATAGTGCTATAACTGTTAGCTATTAAGTTGAAATCAGTATTTTTCAATGTTTATCTGTTTTTCTTAATAATTTCTTTACAATGATCTATATTACGGTTCATTAGAAGAGGCATCTTCATAACTCCAACTTACAGACCACTCAACAAAAACCACCTCAGAGCAGGGGGCCAAAAAATTCTTAGACAGAATAATTGACAATTGTCTAAAGTCAAAGAACTTCTCATGAATAAACAACAAAACTAAAACAAAGAATAACAACAACGTAACTTTGCTTCTTGACGTTTCAGGGAATCAATAATCCAGGTTAGGTCATTTTTCTAGAGAGAGGAGGACTTATCCTATGAAAAATCAATGTGAAAAAAATGTAACTATTTCTAAAGTGTAGCATATGCTTTTCTGTTTTCTTAAACTGGGTGGTGTAGTGAAGCCCCTCCTGAGAACTCAAGTAGTACCATGATTGAGGGCTGTGGTACCAGGAGTCACAGATCTCAGCACTGGACCTGGAGTCTGTTTCTTACCAGTTTTACAACTCTGAGCCAATTTCCTAACTTCTCAGTGGTCTGGCTACCTAATCTATAAAGCCAGGGTAAGGATAAGAGCTATAAAAATTAGATGACAATATCTAAGTGCATTGGACAGTTAACTTGTAGTATAGTAACAGTAAGGAGGAAAGGAGGAAGGAGAGAAGGTGATCATGAAATACACAATCACCAATCCTTAGCACTGCACAGGCAAAGTGATGGTTTGTGAATGAAATTATTTTTCATGGGAATATTGTAAAAAGAGATCCTACAGCAATGGTATGTGTCATTCAGAGAGATGATCTTCCCTGCCCCTACCCATCGTGACATCCTACAAAATGCTTTCATATAGGAATGTGTTCTGGGGCTGTGAGGAAGGTTGACCCTACAAATAGGTGGCTTAGTCCTTTTCATAGTACAGTCAGCCCTCCACATCCATGGATTCAAACAACCATGGACTGAAAATATTCAGGAAAAAAAAATAATAAAAGCAATACAACAATAAAAAAAAATACAAAATTTTAAAAATATGGTATAACAACTATTACAACACCATTTACACTGTGTTAGGTATTGTAAGTAATCTAGAGATGACAAAGTATATGGGAGGGTGTGTGTGTAGGTTATATACAAATACTGTGGCATTTTATATCAGGGACTTGAGCTAATCAGAAGAGGGGTGAGAGATGCCAAGCTGGTAACAGTAAAAAATGGCAGCTGAAAGCAAAAGGGACAGGAAGAAAAAAAACACATTAAAGAGAGTTGTCCCTTGGTATACTTTGCTTATAATGAAAATCAGATCATCAAGCTTTGTAAAGAAATATATTTTTGAGGTTACCTCTCCAAAGAGTGTATGTACTTGAAGACCCATATCTTAGGGATGATTTTTAGAAGCTTTTTTTGGCTTACTTCCTGGTTTTCCTCTCTGTTTACAATAGATACAAAATACCAGGTTGCCATAAGCATGATTGTACAGCATCCGTGCTCCTTGTAATTATATGGCTTATAATAGAAGCACACAAAATGAAATTTTTACAGTCTTACAATACATTTTGAATGCAAAATTCATTTATTATATATTTTAATAGTTTTTTGGAGTCTTGAAGTATAATTTGTTAAAACGATAGCCAATTTCACTTCTATAATTTGATATTTTCATACGATTAGAAAACTACTGAAATTAAATCAATGAAAAACACACTTAATGCTCTGAAAAACACATGTGCTCAGACTCTACCAGAAGAGAGTCTAATTCATTCAGGTATGAGGCTCAAGCATTTGTATATTTCAAACTGGGCCTAAAACACTATAGAGTGGATTAATAAAATGTGGTATATATATACCATAGAGTACTACTCAGCCATAAAAAAATGAATTAATACCTTTTGCAACAATCTGGATGGTAGTGGAGACCATCCTCTTAAATGAAGTATCAAAAGAATGAAAAAACAAATACCATATGTACTCACTATTAATTTAGAACTAACTGATCAGCACTCATGTGCACAGAGGGAAGTAAAACTCAATGGAAATCATGCAGGTGCAAGGGGAGAGCAGGGAAGGGATAAAATCACACCTAACAGGAAAATGTACACTGTCTGGGTGATGGGCACACTTACAACTTTGACTCAAGCAGTACAAAAGCAATCCATGTAAACCAAAACAATTGTACCCTTATAATATTCTGGGGGAAAAAAAAAGAAGATAAAGAGGAAAATCACAAATATGCCTCTTTCCTAAGTATGATAACCACTATTGATCTTTGGTTTATGTAAACATAGTTGTAAATATGTGCATGTACATACAAATATGTGTATGCACAACATGACACAAACTATTTTATAAGCCATTTAAACTATTTTCAAAGTATTTTACAAATCTGTTTTCATATCAATACATCATCATTTTCCAATACTACATGGAATTCCATTGTTTAACATATTGTATTTAATAAGTTACTCATTAATGGGGATTTGATACAGTTAAAAAAAATTATACGCAGAACAATTAAATCATATTTCAAATGTGGAGGATAAGCTTTAAATGTAAAGCAATTTTATGGAACTTTTGCTGAGGGGTCTCTACTGCTAACTTCATGTGTGAATTTGAGGGAGTAACTTCTGGTGTATCCAAAGATTAAAAGGAAAAAATGATTTTTTTAAAAATCATGAATTTGGAAGCCAAACAGATCTATGTTGAAATAGAGATTCTGCCACTAATTGGAAATGGACTCTTGACCAACTGACATCGTCCCTCTCAGCTACAGTTTTCTTTTATGTAACAACAACAAAAAAAGTATAGTTTTAACCATAAGGAGATACCACTTCACTCCCATAAAGATGGCTGGAATAAAAAAATCACATAACAAGTGTTGACGAGGACGTGGAGAAATCAGAACCCTTATGTGCCACTGGTGGGAATGAAAATGGTGCAGCTACTTTGGAAAATAGGCTGGTGGCTGCTCAAACAATTAAACATAGAATCGTCATATGGCCTAGCAATTTCACTGCTCCAAGGCACAGACCCAAGAAAACTGGAAACACACGTCCTCACAAAAACTTGGTCACTGTTGTTTGTAGTAATATTATTCACAATATGTAAAAAGCGCAAACAATGTAAATGTCCGTCAGCAGACGAATGGGTAAACAAAATGTGGTCTACCCTTATCCTGGAATTTTATTTAGCCATAAAAAGGAATGACATATTGATATAGGTTGTTCCATGGATGAATGTCAAAACATGCTCAGTGAAAGAAGTCAGCCACAAAGGAACAAATCATTGTAATATTCTATTTATATGAGATGCCCAGAGTAAGCAAATCTAAAGATACGGAATGTAGATGAGTGGTTGCCTAGGGCTGAGCGGGAAGGGGGAATTGGGGTGATAGGTAAGGAGTACAGGCTTTTTTTAGGGGGGATAATGAAAATGTTCTAAAATTAATGGTGGTGATGAATACACAACTTTATTAATATATTATACTAGAAGCTATTGAATTGTACAGTTTAAATGGGTGAACTGTGTGATATGTGAATTATATCCCAATAAAGCTGATAAAAAAAAACAGAAAAAAACTGGAATTTGAATACCTGCCACATAGGATTTTATGAGCATTAAATAAAGGCAAGCAAACTCTGGGTGCATTGTAACTATTAAATAGAGGGATCTTTGTTTGTTGTTCTGCTATTGTTGGCATCTTCATCCCCCTAATGAGAAAACAGCTGAATGGAAAATCAAGATAACCTGGTAATCCATTTGGGTGCAGCTCCCCATCTTCAAACTTTAACCTTTAGATAATACAATTTATAAAATGATTGGTCTAAATATTTTTCTCAAACTCCTTCCATGCTAATACTGTTTGTGAATCACCAGGCATCAAAAGTTCACTTAAAATAAAATCTACTTTTATTTACCGGCAGACCTCATAAAAATCTTGGCGTTAGTGTTAACTCAAATTATGATCAGTTTCAATCAAACTCCAGATTTAACCAGAAGGCTCTCCTACCAAATGGAGTCATATGACAATACAAATGTCAAATTACTTGTTCCGTTGTCATGAACACCTTGATCAAAACCATAAAACATTGTAATGAATGTGACAGGGTAAAAATAAAAAAAAATAAAAAAAATAAAAAAAAACATAAAACTTTCTTCAAAACGGCCAGTACTATGTATGCTCAGAATTTCTACTGAATGCTTTGGGATTCACTTAAATAAAGCCTAGCAAGCATTTCCTGCAGAAGATTCCAAGAGCAAAGGCACACTGCTCACCTCCAAATGTCGCTTCCCTTAGAAAACAAGGAAGACTTGATGACTTCGGGGGCCATCCAGGCGTAGGTGCCCGCCGCGCTCATTTTGGTGGTCCTGTGCCATTCCCTCGCTAACCCAAAATCTGTAATCTTCAAGGTTTTGTTGCAGACGTCATCATACTCTATCTTCTCCAGCAGCAAAACTAAAGAAAAATCAAAGGTGGGATATTTGCATGTCCTTGTAATTTTTTCAGTTATAATTTTTCTAGGGCACATAAAACACAATCTTCACTGTAGCTGGCAAAATCAATGAGAATGAACTTGTATTTTACCATTTTATCTCAATTACTGGATGCATATCATTACCTTTAGCAGGTCATTTGTGCCTGAAGTTACAAATATTTTTTTTTTTTTTGAGACAGAGTCTACCCCGAGAGATGGACTCCACCACAAACCCTCGTCTCTGCTCAGCTTTCCAACACACTTGCTCTGCAATCCTGCACACCTCATCCCGGCCCCCAAGCTTTTAAATATAACTACCCTCACTGCATACTAATATACTCACTATACTC